TTGTGACAGCAGAGTGTTTTCCCTCTCTCTCTCTGTCTTTCTGTCCTTCTTTGAGAAGGAGTGCGAGTAACGATGTTCTTTTGTGTGGGCCGTCCCGCCCCTCACATCCCAGGGCCTGTCACCGAACCTGTTGTCATAACAACAGCTGTCTTCCTGGCGACCCCCACCCCACCCCTCTGTATTGTGTGTGTTTTACTTTGAAATGATTTGGGATAAAAAAATTGTAATTCCCAGAATTTAGCAAAAATGGATTGATAAATAACAGTAAGTATTAAATGTAACTGTAAAATTACCCTAAAACCTTTGATTGGAATGTTATTACAATAAACACATGCATGAATTGTCATCCTTGCTCTAGAAGATCTAGTTCCTGACATGTGCACATTAGTCTGTATGAATGCTGTACAGTGATGCACACAATAACTGATGAACAGATGTAAGTATATATTCCACAGTCAGAATCAGGGACTGCAGCTATTTGATTTATAAAATAATAATGACAGTACAGGTTCAACTGGTTAACTTTACTACACTAGGTATCATGAACTAACAATGAACAACATTTTAACAGCATTAATGTACTGTAGGTTAATGTTAGTTTATAAATATAATATTGTTTAGTGTTAATTCATGGCCATTCAAAATAAAGTAATTAATAAGAAATGTTTTAATGTATTGGCGTACTATTCAAAAGTTTGGGGTCATTAAGCTTTTTTTGAAAGAAATCTCTTCTGTCACCCATTCTGCATTTATTTAACCAAAAATACAGTAAAAACGGTAATATTGTGAAATATTACTTACAATAACTGTAATGTATGTTCAAATGTAATTTATTCTTGTGATTAAAGCTTTCTTTCTTCTTTCTTTCTTTATAAAGCACTTTCACACAACTACCGGTTGATCCAGTGTGCTGTACAATACAGCTAAAGTATTTATTTAAAAATAATTCTAAATTTCACTGGTAACCAGTTTAGTGAAATAAGAATGGGCGAGATGTGATCGAACCTCCGTCTGCCTCTCAGCAACCTTGCAGCGGCATTTTGGACCATCTGTAAACGCATTATAGAGGACTGACTTATACCATAGTATAGAGAATTACAGTAATCTAAACGAGACAGAACAAACAAGAGAATAATCTGTTCAAAAGGATTTCGGTTTTTGTTCTCGTTTAACACTTAAAAGATTCTGCTTTAACCATATTTGTAATTCATTTAGACAATCCAACAGAGGTCCTAAGAATTATTTACTTTTATGCTGCAAGGGAAAATACAGCTGAGTATAATCCGCATATATAATAATACACATATACACTATAATATGCAAAAATGATATTTAAATTGTAAATATGTAAATGCACTTTTTTATATTGTATTGTTTATTATATTTTTATTACAATATCTGATGGTGCAAATAATACCGAGCACACAATGGTAGGGATGTCCTCAGTTAACACTAAACATATGTGAACTACACATGTAAGGATACGAGAGCGATTGGGTTCGTGTGTTTGTGATACATCTCTCCCTCTTCCTGTTAAACGGGGGGTTTGTTCAGTTTGTTTGAGTGATCAGGGATTAGACTGCAGTTTCAAACTCTGTGAAACTGTGAATGGGGCTGGATTTGTGTGTGTGAGAGAGAGACTTCAATCCATCAATTCTAATTGACAACAAGCTCTTAGTTTATGCTATAATGCAACACACACACACACACACACACACACACACTCCTGCAAAACCTTATTGAACCACCTATACTGACAGTAATCTGGATTTGTGACATGGTCAAAAAATTTATGTATAAATGTGTGTGTGTGTGTGTGTGTGTGTGTGTGTGTGTGTGTGTGTGTGTGTGTGTGTGATGAGCTGTATGCTGGAGCTGAGAGGTGGGTTTCATTTGGGTCACTGGATATGAAAAGCCTGCCGATTGATTGTCAAACTAGTTATTGTGTGTGTGTGTTAAATAGGGCTCATTAAAAGGTATTATCACTTTCACAGTTGCTTATCATATTGTGTAAATAGCTTTTTTTAAGTGTACAGAGGGTGTGTGTGTTTAAGGTGTGTTAGAGTCACTTGTACTAGCATGTACCACTGTTTTCTCCTTCTGAATGTGTCCAAGGAGAATTGGTGTATTTTCAACTCGAGCCAATTCTGAATCAGCTCAAAGCCACAAATCTGTTTACTTCACACTTGCTAATTACCCAGTGAAATACTGAACATTACTCAATCTTTGGTTAACTGTCCACAGTGGGTGACCACAGACATCTGAATGACGCATGAGATAAGTACAGACAATGATGTGATGCTGATGGTTGCTAGTTTGTTGGCATGAAAGCTCATTGATGCCTTCCTTTCATTGCTCACTCAACACTTGTGATCATTTGTCAATGTGTATGCTTGCTGTATTAATTGGTTTGCTTGCTTATTAGTTAGTTTGATAATCCTATACACACACACACAAATGGACAAAATGTATTTCTAAA